TCCCCCACGTATTGTAAATAAAATATAAAAAATAAATACGTGTAAACGTATTGTAAAGTGAGAAATCAAAGTAAGAATTCCCGTAAACTATTATTGTTTATATCGCGTGCGTCTAGTTAATCGAGATTATTCGTAAAATGAAATCTAATCATTTGCTATCAATTAAAATTAAAATAATTTTGTTATTTAGGTGTTTTATGTTGATTTGAAACTGAAAAACTGCTAATCAATTTTTAAATTTGCTAATCAAATTTGGCAAAATTGGACTTTTTGATTAGCAGTGCTGCTAATCATCTGTGAAAAATTACCTACAGCCCTGCACGTGATCTGTTTAAACCTAGTCACTGCGAAATTCAAATACCATTGCACATTGACAAGTAAGCCCATATTTAATTTACGTTTTCTATCAAACGTCAAAGAATTGATAAAAGAAAAGTTGTCTGACAATACAAAGTAATACTAGAAGAATTAGATGATGTAGTTTTTTTTTCACCCGAAAATGGTTGGGATGGAGAAACAGAAGCAAGCTAGCTAGAAATTTCACACCACAGCCTACATCCAATCTGTATGAAATTTAAAAGCATTATCTGAATTAGTAAAATGAAAATTTCAACAATTTCTGTAGATTACTTCCAGAGTTAAGGCCCTTGTTTTAGATTTTAGAACCTTGTGAACCCTCAAACGACTAAAATTACAATGTCATCTGTATGAAATTGTCTATTAAATGCCCCTAATTACCTACAAAAGAATAAATATGCGACAATCCTTGTCAACTTCTCGGATGATTTAGCTGCTGTGGGCGTATGTTTCGTTGCCTGGCAACCTATCTTTCCCAAATTTTCGTTGGGTAGAACGCTTTCTGCCACAGATGGAGCAACATGTGGCAAACTCTTGCCCAAAAGCATGTATGAGGTTCACCATGAAAAACTTGAGATACACAAGCTTGAAGTAGAGACAAGTAAACATGCAATTTTCGGCCCTACATTTCAACCAATTCAACCTCTCAACTCTTGTATCCTTCCGCCTCAAAACAAAATCATAAATATTCACCAAAACCTGGCAGAAAATGTATTTTCAAACCCTTTTCTTTGATTCTACACCAAAAAGTCAACAAAAATCGCCATGCAAAAGGGAAAGGGAGAGAAAGACTTAAAATAACTTTCGCCCTACATCGTGGGTGACGGTGTAGAAATATTTGGTGAGCTGTGTCCTGCAACATGTACTTTCTTAATCTACGTCCTGTAATTGGGCCCCTTTATCAATGATAAAAGCCTTTTTAATCACAGATTATATTTAATCATTGATTAAATGTACAATCAAAAGTTTAGGCGTGAATTTTAATCTTTGATTATAGTCAAAGATTAGCTAATCTGACTTTTGAGAATACCAAACTTAGTCAACCACTAATCTCTACCTAGCTAGTTACTGATTAGACCTTATCACAGATTATTTTAGATACTGTTCAAAGATATGGGCCTAGTTATGTCTAAAATTTATAAGGTAAAAAGTACATAAGAGGAAATTATATTAATTTTTTTTATACGCCCACACTGAAATGTGGTGGTATATTGTCGTCGCCCCCGGTCCCTGCTTGTGGAAGCTCCGGAGGTTAAAGTTAATATCCGATTGACTTTAAATTCAAACTTGCCTTTGTAAATCCTTTAATTAAAAAGACTAACCTTGATTGTAATGTTTTGAAAAATTACAGGCCGGTCACAAATTTAAGTTTTATATCTAAAATATTTGAAAAATGTATTGCCAGTCAGTTGAAGTGTCATATTGAAGATAATTCTCTTCACGAGCCTTTATCACCCACGGTTTCGGGGCTATTCTGCTTTTGAATATACTCCCAGGTGATACATATGTAATATTTGTAGATGAGCTAGGATTGGGGGTGTATAGCTTATTTGTGGAGAAGTATTATAGTGAAGGTGGTCACTGCATTATAAGTCCAATTCCAAATCCATTTCAATATTACTTTATATACAGTTTAAAAATACATTATTTACAAGATCATATCAAAGGGTTACTAAATGTCTTAAGCCTATCTCATCTGATGTCCCTGTATATTTTTCATTGTCTTCTGTCTGTGTAGGGGTCTTTTTAACAAACTAATTTGCATACAGACAAAAAGACAATTATTTCAACAAATCAGATTAAAGATAAAATTAGGGATCAAAATATTTTAACGAATCAAATGAAAGAAGTTAATATATAAATTTCATTGGGTAAAAAATTTACAATAACATATAGAACTAGTTAATAAGCTTTAAACCGTAAATAAAATTAAAAGCGTCGACACTTGATTGACACTGATCTGACTGCATTGTTAAATGTATAAATCTTTATTTCGAGCTTTCTACTAATAAGCCTATTGGCACCTCAAAGATTATAATAGTACAGTCAAGACCATTCTTGCTTAGGGCAATCACTTTAAGAGGTTTAAATCAAAATATTAAAATCTAAATCAATGAATAGTATAAAGTCAGCCATATTGATGAATATAGAAGTAAGAATTAAATTATGCATTATTTAAAAAAAAAATTAATATCACTATTCGGTGATACCTCTACAGAGCGCATATAAAAAATTCCACAGTACTGAAACTGCTTTAACTCGTGTTTCAAATGATATTCTTTTATCCCTTGATAACCAAAAATGTATTCTTTTATTATTATTAGACCTGTCTGCTGTCTTTGACACAGTCGACCACAGCATTCTTTTAAATTTTTTCCGTTTTAGATTTGGTATGAATAAATCTGCTCTGAATCTTTTAGAAAGTTATTTAATTGTTAGGCAGCAATGTGTTGTTTTAAATAGTAAATATTCTTCTCATTGTGTTTTAAAATCTGGCGTTCTTCAGGGTTATGTCCTTGGTCCTATTTTATTTACGTTATACACCTCACCACTTGGGGATATAGTTAGAAAATATGATTTACAATTTCATCTATACGCAGATGACACCCAATTATATATTTCTTTTTCACCTAAAAATCCAGATTATTATGTCAGTTCAAAAGTTGTTATTGAAGAATGTATATCTGAAATTAAATTGTGGATGTCAAAACTTTTTAAAATTAAATGATGATAAAACTGAATATTTATCAAATAAACAATTGTCAAAAATTGACTGCCAATCTCCCTTCTTAATTGGTAATAGTGAAATTAATCCCTCGTCATCTGCACGTAATATTGGTGTAATATTTGATATGAATATGAGTATGGAAGCTCAAGTGAATTATATATGTAAATTGTGTTATTGTAATATAAGCAATATATTGGTAGAATACGTAAATTTATCCCCTTAGACTCCACAAAAACACTTGTTAATGCTTTGGTCACTGGACAATTTTAATTTGTTGTTAGCTGGTCTTCCAGCCAAACTTTTAAACTTCAACGAGTCCAAAATACAGCTGCACGCCTTATTACACGCATTATAAAATATGATCATATTACCCCAATTATAAAAAATTTACACTGGTTACCTATTATAGAATTCCAGTGTGCAAAATTAGCACTGGCCCGAACGCCCGTGGCCAGTAGATTTTTGATCTGGCCAGTAAAAATTTTAAAACTTTCAACCGTTTTATTCCAAATCACTCAAGAAGGATAAATATACGTCTTTTTCTCAAAATATTATGTGGAAAACATATTTTCCTTTATAAGGTCACGAGATCTGGCGTGAAACCGCGATGGGGTTCTCGATTGAAAAATCAGTCATGGCTCGAAATGTTCGCCTATCTTGTCGCCGACAGGCGAATTTTACGTCTTAACAGGTAGCAAGAAAAACTATTTTATGTTCAGTAAACTGACCACAATACTCACGTCTACGCCACGTACATTTCTAAATGCAAGAATTAAGCTCGGAAATACCCCGAAAAGCCGCCATTTGCATTGTTTCCATTGCGCACTGTCGTACAGTTACTCGCACAGTTGGAAGTAGCCAATTTTATAACAATAAATTTCACACCATCTACACTTGTTTTCTTCTGTTTAACACTAGTTTATAGCATTATGAATTATTATGTCTAAATAAATTAAAAACGCACCCCCAAGTCATGTGACCTACTTATTCTACCATAACGACCCCACAGTAAATATCTGGAATGGAAATGCACACGGCTCGTTGTCTGGTGTATTTAATCATTTTAAAACAATGTCCATAAATAAAGGCTATGAATAATTTACTAGAAAATTTGACACAAATCAATAATTAGGTTGGGAAAAAATTTAATAAATATAAATATAATTTGTAGCGTAAAGATAGACATGGATGTGAGAAAGGAATTCCAGGGGACGTTACCTGTCCTCTGTAAATATGCAGCCATGCACAGCCATAGGTGTCAAGTCGTGTTTTGATGTTAGATTTATTACGGATATTTATGAATTTGAATTCTACACCTTAACGGCGAAGTATTCAATTAGCACGGAAGTTTGGCACCATGATACTTGGTGAGGAAATAAATGATTTTGGTGTAGTATATGGTAACTCATATGCCCTGAACACACTAGCTCCTTTAAATATGATAACCTAACCAAGTTATTTCACACAAAAACTAGATAAATAAATTAAAAAAATTCAAGCTCATTTTTTAAATTGTCAATGTTTGGCCTTGATAAATTGATTTTACTGATTCTCATCCCTGTCCACTAACATGTTTTAATATACAAAGTTAAGTGACGATCCCTCTCTGGTTGTAACCCCCAAAAATGTCCCAATCTTCGTTCTGATCAGTAAATTGTAGTATTATAAGATATTTCAGTTTATTGGTGCTATATATTTCATCTAAATCAACCTATTTTTAAAAATGGAAAAATTCATGAATGCCAACGGATAACTTATTATCTTGGAATATAAAAATAAAAAGCGACTGGTAAAACATTCTACCAAAATGGTATGAGATTTAAATCTAATCAGTATAACTATTAGTTGATATCCCGTCTACTACGTCAATGAAAGCTATTTTTAGAACTGGAAAGTTTGATTCATCATTATTCAGACTACATTAAATTTCCATGAAATATTTTTGAAACCTTTGGACTAATAAAATAGAATTTAATGGGAAGATTTCAACTAAAGGTAGACTAGGACACTAACATATTTAGAACTTAGAATAAGGCAATTTATTTTTTTTAAACAGCGAAAGTGGAATTGTCCCTTTAAACTTACGGGCATTTGCAAAAAGGTACACATTGCTTGGTTGAATCCCAACTGCTTTCCTTGTATCTGTATTTGAAAGGATCTGCAATGCAGCATTGACATCTCCAGGAATGATAACTGGAACACCTCTGCCAGCCTTAAAAGAAAAAACACAATTTAACATTTTAACTCATTTATTAATTAAAAAAACAACAAGTAAATAAAAACTAAAACATTTTCTAAAAACAACACGGTGAAGTAAAATTGTGTGGTTAATGGATACTAATAGACTATGACATCAGCATTCTGGGGTCTTTTTGCATTGTAAATACTGTGACAACATTGTGGGGTTAATGGAACTATTAATATTTTGACAACATTCTGCGGTAAATGGCACTATTATGGCATTTTGAAATTTGACCTAATTGACAGCTTAAGCGCCCCTAGGAGGAGTAATCTTTTTAACCTTACAACTACAGCAAAGGAAGTAAGATCAGGAAAGGAAAGGCTTATGTAAAAGACTCATATAACCTAAAAATATTCACATACCTTTTCTCGTATTTCAACTACTTCCTGAGTGTGAAGTAGTTGCTTCTCAAATTCCGTTAGGTCTCCTACCATCTCATTTGCAGTTAGTTCTCCACCTTTTTTTCTGTTGTTTTACTGATCCATCCTGAAAACGAAATCAATGAAATGAATAAATAAGCCCTTATAAACCTTTACATTAGCCCTGTGCAAATATGTATTTCTAGGCCACATATGTATTTCTTGGGACTGATTATTGCTCAATGTCATGGCACGGTCTAGGGCTGTCGACTTTCTTTTATAGAGACTCAATCGTTCACACTGAATAAATGGGAGTTTGCAAAAAAATTTTACAAGTTTGAATTATTTGTTTTGGAACATGGCCTTTACATCTCTTGAAAACCCCACCTATACTATACTTTAACAGAGTATTTAATCGGTTGAGCGATTTTCGTGTTCATGTTAAAACGACAACATTTTTCTATAGTTTGGCGTTTTAAATTGCATACGTAAACAGACTTTTTTGAGAATTATCTGGGACTGCCCCTTTAAGCCAAAATATTCATATTAATAACTTACCTCATTGCTTGAACTTCATGGCACCTTCTTCTGTTATATAGTGTCACTCTGGCTAATGTCAAAATAGCAGTCCGACGGTAGCTCTCATACTCTGTTTTGGACAGATCTAAATTGATTATGGAGGTCTTCAGAAACTGTGACAGTTTATTCACATCTTCAGCAAGAGGAAGGGATTTCCTTGTATTGAACATCCTTTCTGTAAGTGTAACCCGTGCTAATTTAGTTTAAGTAAACTCCATTGCAAGTCCATTAATTTTAAGAAGTTTTCTGCTTGTTCTTTCTTTACAAGATCTCCATCCATAAGGCTTTTTGCTAACTTTGATGACGCCATCCTCTTTAAGTCATATCAGATTTTGATTGCATTGCTGGGGGATTTGAGATCCTCTTCATCTATATTTTGCTTACTACATTTCAAGGCTGCTTTAATCATGAGGTCAAAATACTTTGGTTGGATGTACATACTCATCCATATCTTTTTGTTTGGAGCATTCATTATCCAATTTACATAGTTCCAACAAAATTTTTGCAGCTAATCGCATAAGAGAAGATGTATAGTATTTACCCATAATTTCCTCTTCGTGTATTGGTTCCCCAGACTCACAATCAGACTGTCATTCTGAGCAATCTTCGACACATCATCTACTTGCATTATTGTAAACACCTCTGCTAGAAGTGCAGGAGATGCATCCTTGGTTATTTTTCCAGTCAGGATTTTAGATTGTACAATTAGATTACTGCTACTCTGTCTTGGAAGTCTGTCATATCCTTCAAGTTGAACAGTGGCTGAACAAGTTTTCAAATGTCACTGTATAGATGATAAAAGAAGCCATCCCAAGCAACGTGGGCATGGACCATACTTTTATACGCCCACATTTTCATGTGGACGTATATTGTCGTCGCCCCTGTTCGTCCCAATTGTTTGTGAACAGTCTACAGGTCACAATTTTTATCCGATTTCAATGAAACTAAAAATATAGGTTTATCACCCTAAGATCTCAGGTCCTTTCGATATTGGCATGTATCGGACTGTAACTTCATGGATTATGCCCCCTGATTGTACGAAAAATCATGTTTTTAGCTTGTGAACACTGTAGATGCCACAATTTTTATCCGATTTGGTTCAAACTTGAAATGTATGCTTATAACCCAAAGATCTTGGTTCCTTTTGATATTCGCGCATATAGGAATGTAATTTCCTGAATTATGGCCCCTGATTGTACGTAAAATTGCGTTTTTATACGCCCACATTTTCATGTGGACATATGCCGTCGCCCCTGTCTGTCCGTCCACAATTGTTTGTGGACACTCTACAGGTCACAATTCTTATCCGATTTTGTCGAAACTTGAAATATAGGTTTATCTCTTAAATATCTCGGCTGCTTTCGATATTCGCGCATATTGTACCGTAACTTCCTGAATTATGGCCCCTGATTGTACAAAAAATCACGTTTTTAGCTTGTGGACCCTATAGAGGTCATAATTTTTATCCGATTTAAAAAAACGTTTTATTATATCACCGTTACACACGAAGGATGGCCGAGTTCGAATTTTGTGAAAATCGGCACAAAATTGACAGACAAAATGGCCGCCGCCGTTTTATCCGATATTCGCTCATATTGGACCGTAACTTCCTGAATTATGGCCCCTGATTGTACGAAAAATCGTGTTTTTAGCTTGTGGGCCCTATAGAGGTAATAATTTTTATCCGATTTGAAAAACCGTATTATTATATCACCCTAAGGATGAATTAGTTCGAATTTCATGAAAATCGGCCCAAAATTGACAGACAAAATGGCCGCCGTTCGTTCTCAAATAGCGTAAAAATATGGTATATCAAGGTTGTGGACCCTATAGAGGTCACATTTTTTATCCGATTTTGTTGAAACTTGAAATGTAAGTTTATAACCCAAAGATCTCGGTTCCTTTCGATATTTGCACATATCGGACCATAACTTCCTGAATTATGGCCCCTGATTGGATGAAAAATCGCTTTTTTAGCTTGTGGACCCTATAGAGGTCATAATTTTTATCCGATTTAAAAAAACGTATTATTATATCAGTGTTACACCCTAAGGACGAATGAGTTCGAATTTCATCAAAATCGGCCCAAAATTGACAGACAAAATGGCTGCCGTTCGTTCTCAAATAGCGTAAAAATATGGTATATCAAGGTTGTGGACCCTATAGAGGTCACAATTTTTATCCGATTTTGTTGAAACTTGAAATATAAGTTTATAACCCAAAGATCTTGGTTCCTTTCGATATTCGCCCATATCGGACCGTAACTTCCTGAATTATGGCCCCTGATTGTACGAAAAATCATGTTTTTAGCTTGTGGACCCATTAGAGGTCATAATTTTTATCCGATTTAAAAAAACGTATTATTATATTACCGTTCCACCCTAAGGACAGTTGAGTTTGAATTTTGTGAAAATCGCCCCAAAATTGACAGACAAAATGGCCACGTTCGTTGTCAATTAGCGTAAAAATATGGTTTATCAAGGTTGGGGACCCTATAGAGGTCACAATTTTTATCCGATTTTGTTGAAACTTGAAATGTAAGTTTATAACCCAAAGATCTCGGTTCCTTTCGATATTCGCGCATATCGAACCGTAACTTCCTGAATTATGGCCCGTGATTGTATGAAAATCGTGTTTTTATACGCCCACATTTTCATGTGGACGTATTATGCCGTCGCCCCTATCCGACCGGACGTCCGTCCACAATTGTTTGTGGACTCTCTACAGGTCACAATTCTTATCCGATTTCGACGAAACTTGAAATATAGGTTTATCCCCAAAAGATCTCGGCTGCTTTCGATATTGGCATGTATCGGATTGAAACTTCATGGATTATGGCCCCTGTTTGTACGAAAAATCACGTTTTTAGCTTCTGGACCCTATAGAGGTCACAATTTTTATCCGATTTTGTTGAAACTTGAAATGTAAGTTTATAACCCAAAGATCTTGGTTCCTTTCGATATTCGCGCATATCGGACCTTAACTTACTGAATTATGGCCCATGATTGTACGAAAAATCGCGTTTTTAGCTTGTGGACCCTATAGAGGTCATAATTTTTATCCGATTTAAAAAAACGTATTATTATATCACCGTTACACCCCAAGGACGACTGAGTTCAAATTTCGTGAAAATCGGCCCCAAATTGACAGACAAAATGGCCGTCCCTAGTTTTCAAATTGCGTAAAAATATGGTATATCAAGGTTGTGGATCCTATAGAGGTCACAATTTTTATCCGATTTTGTTGAAACTTGAAATGTAAGTTTATAACTCAAAGATTGACATTTCATTTCTCCATCTTGCAGCTTTGACAGGTCATGTATAAACCAGTTGAAATCAGGTTGATTTAAAAACAAAAGACTCACTTATACTTTATATTAGATTAGTTCTGACATAAATATTTGAAAGCTTACCTTTGTATTTTTAAATACAAAATAATTTTGATTATTAACATGTCGGGTATTTCCAAAGAATTTACTACACCTGTTCATTACACACAGGCCATGATGAATGGTTCCAGTGACCCGTGTGTCATCAACTTTGATCCTATCGGCACACAGCATGGCACTGGAGTGATAATATAAACAATTTTACTATCCTGTCTATTTTAATATTATATCAGCACATTAAACTGATTTGTTTCATTTTGAGACTCTTTATTATAGATTGACCAGGTAAATAAATAGGGTAAAACAATTAATTTGTCAATCAGTCAAGGCTATCTCGTGCTTTACAGTTAAGTGCTAATAATAACTTATACAAATCTTCCAGCGGGAATTAAAGGACGTTAATTTACCGTGATGTATTATAAATGACATGTGCTATATGAAGTATTTACATATGGTCTTTAGTGAAAGAAAACATTGTTGTGGCTACCATTCCTGGTTTTGAAGGTCAGATATGATATGAAAACGAATATCGGTTTGTAGTTTTTTTTAACTGTTTCACCAGTGCAACCGAAGCGAGACCGGTTAACCGAGTAGCCCTATACATCCTTAATTATTTGGCAATCAAGTCTACGATCTTTATTAAAAATGATAGGTTGGCAGGCAACAAAACATATGCCCAAATATTGAAGATTAAATCTTGTACCGGTACCTTGTCAAACTATGGACTAGTGGATATTAATGCAGGGCTAGTGCCTGACAGTAGACTACTAGCCCTGGGCTAGTGGATTCAAAATTTTTTTTACCCCCCTGATGACACCTATGATCGTATAATAGTGAGTTGACAACCTATTGAGCAAAAGACATAGAAATAATTATGTTTTGACTTTCTTAGAAAATATGAAATTGTAACTTTAAATTCACCTAATTACCTACAAAAGAATATATATACTATTCAAAAAAAGTAGGGGATATTTGATTTTTAAGTGTTATTAAAGTCACCTAATGAAACTGACGAAGAAACAAATGACAAAATGAAATGAAGTTCACATTCATCGATTTATTCCAAATGATCGTTAGACTAAGTAAGGCACAGACTGACCATTATAAGGGTAAAATGATACCCGGGGTCAAACAGCAAAGTTACCACAGCATCACAACCAAGTCAGTAACGGGTAAATCCTCCTCTGTTTGCCAAACAAGCATTGATCCGACGTGGCATACTCCTAATGAGACGTCTAAGGTCATTTTGGTCCAGATTGTCCCATTCCTGTTGCAACGCAGCAGCAAGTTCTTGGACATTGGCAGGACGTTGTTGACGTTGACGTAACCTCTGTCCAAGCATGTCCCAGACATACTCGATGGGGGAGAGGTCGGGACTCAGTGCTGGCCAAGGTAATGTGGTGATGTTCTGTTGTTGGAGGTAACCTGTAACGATCCTGGCCCTGTGACATCTTGCGTTGTCATCCTGGAAGATGAAACGGCGGCCATGACGTCGTGCGAACGGCACAACATGGACTGCCAAGATGTTGTCCCGGTAGTACTGGCCTGTAACACGCCCTGCAACAACATGTAAAGCCGTTCTTCCAGCAACAGTGATGCCTCCCCACACCATAACAGAACCACCCCCAAATCGATCATGTCTGATGACGTTAACGTCTTGGAAGCGCTCGTTTCGACGACGCCACACCCTCCTACGTCTGTCCAAAAAATCAACAGTGAACCTTGACTCATCTGAAAACATCACATTGCTCCAGCGTCGATTATCCCAGTGTTGACGATCCCTACACCAACGACGTCTTGCCTGAATGTGATGATCTCTCAAACAAGGGATCACGCGAGGACGTCGGGCGCGAAGGTGACCCCTATGCAGTCGATTCCGAATCGTCTGGCCACTCACTCTCACACCAGTGTCTGTTTGAAGACGAGCGCTGATCTGATTTGCTGTGATGACACGATTTCTCAAGGCCAAGGTACGGATAAATCGATCCTGGGCTTGAGTTGTCGCCCTTGGTCGACCTGAGCGTGGTCTGTCCTGTACAGATTGTGTATCACGGTATCTGGACCATAGCCTGCTTATGACAGACTGAGAAACATTCATCGTCCGCGCCACAACCGCCTGTGTTGTGCCGATCTGTAGCATGCCAAGGGCACGTAACCTTTCATTTTGGGTAAGCCGACGCATATCAAAATTTGTTTTCTGGTCACTAAAACAATTAAACTGATGTTTCCACCCTGGAATTCAATGCCACAATGACTGTAACATTCAAAGTCAGAGTCGTGCAAATCTTGGGTTGGACCCCCATGATGATCCCAAGCATCACCTGCATTCCATGCGGTAGTTATTGGTGCGTTTGGGCGTCACATGTAACTGGAAATGTTTCTTCTGTTAGGTTCTATAGTGACTTTTTTCGTAGTCATTTGCATATTTTAGTATTATGCCCCCAAAATCAAATATCCCCTACTTTTTTTGAATAGTATATGTGACAACCCTTGTCGACTGCTCGGACGATTTAGCTGCTGTAGGCGTATGTTTTGTTGCCTGGCAACCTATCTTTTATTCTGCCTCTACCATTTTGACAAAATGTAATAGTGCCACGGAGCAGTAATTTTTACTGGAATGCAGGCGCTTTATAAATTCATTATATTATTATTATTATTAAACATCTGGTATATCAAAGTTGTGGACTCTCTAGAGGTCACAATTTTGATCTGATTTTGATGAAACTTGAAATGCATGTTTATAACCCAAAGATCTTGGTTCCTCTTGATATTCACACATATTGAACTGTAACTTCCTGAATTATGGTCCCTGATTTTACAGAAAATCGCATTTTTAGCTTGTGGACCCTATAAAGGTCATAATTTTTATCCGATTTCAAAAACCGTTTGATTATATCACCGGTACACCCTAAGAAAGGTTGAATTCAAATTTCGTAAAAATCGGACCAAAACTGACAGACAAAATGGCCGCCCCTCGTACTCTAATAGCCTAAAAATAAGGTATATGAATGTTGTGGACCCTCTAGAGGTCACAATTTTCTTCTGATTTTGATGAAACTTGAAATGTAAGTTTATAACCTAAAGATCTCGGTTCCTTTCGATATTCACATTTATTGGACCGTAACTTCCTCAATTATGGCCCTTGATTGTACGAAAAATCACATTTTTAGCTTGTGGACCCCTATAGCGGTCATAATTTTTATCCGATTTAAAAAAAAACTTGTGAATATATCACCGTTACACCCTAAGGATGGTTGAGTTCAAATTTCGTAAAAATGGGACCGAAACTGACAGACAAAATGGCTGCCCCTCATACACAAATAGCGTAAAAATATGGTATATCAATGTTGTGAACCCTCTAGAGGTCACAATCTTCTACTGATTTTGATGAAACTTGAAATGTAAGTTTATAACCCAAAGATGTTGGTTCCTTTCGATATTCGCACATATCGGATAGTAACTTCCTGAATTATGGCCCCTGGTTGTACGAAAAATCGCGTTTTTAGCTTGAGGTCCCTCTAGATGTCACAATTATTTTCCGATGTAAAAAAACGTGCAAATATATCACTGTTACACCGTAATTTTGGTCAAGTTCATAAAAATTAGACTAAAACTGCCAGACAAAATGGCCGCCCGTCGTACACAATTAGTGTAAACATCTGGTATATCAAAGTTGATCTGATTTTGATGAAACTTGAAATGCATGTTTATAACCCTAAGATCTTGGTTCCTTTCGAAATATGTAGCACCATAGGTCTTCTGTCTGACGTGGAGAGCGTCTATGGGAAACCGGTCGCCACATCCTACATACGACCCATGCATCTTTTCTTACTACATATTTCTGTAGCCTTGTGATACGGACAAAATCTACCGTATACTTCACTTTTCTAAAAAGTGTTGTATTCTTAACTTTAACCTCCTATAAAACTCGTATTAATGACTTTGCGATAATCTCACAATTTTTTTCCCAGAAAAACTATAACCAACATCCCTAGATGAACCATATGGGATTTTTTACATAACCCAACTTTTTAATCAAAAGTTAAATTACAACAACTCTAAGGCCTGGACTAAGGACCTCAAAATTATATAGCTGAACACACATATACGAAACAACACAAAAACACAAATTAACGAAACACAGTAGAAACCACGGCCAACTAGGAAATTAGAGTTAATCACTCACAACTTCATCCTTAGCTCTGCCTTCTTTCTCAATGCAATCCGGAGACAACATTAGTTCCTTATTTTATTCCCTATTCCGTTTCCTTATTATTCCTTAGTTATATCAAAACATTTTTTTTTTAAAACCAACTCCCTAAACATTCTCTTTAACTTTAATTTTACTACAAATTTACGACAGGTCATGTTAACCTGGCAATATACATACCTAACTCATGAAATTATATTGTTTAATAAACCTATCAATCTAAACTTATGAATGACTCTAATTTATTCTCTATACAGTTAAATTTTAAATACTTAGTTTCTAATCAGATTTTAACTTTAAAGTAATATTATTTGGTCTTTAAACAAATTTAACACATTTAATTTTCCAAACAAAATGTATTTACCCAATTTTTCGAATATCTCCACCAGATTTTTTTTTCCACCAGACTTTTTCTGTTGCTGGATTGTACAGGTTTTCTTCTTAACGTCTTCAAATATGTATTCGTCTTCTAAAGTGACTTCTTACCCCAAAGGTCGAAACTTCGTTACGGTATCAAATCGAATATGTAAGACTATGCAGTGCTATGCAGTCACTGGTTAGATGTGGAAAATATGTGATGCTTACTCTCTTTTCTTCTAATCTTCTTCCAAATTTTCTGCTTACCCTAAAGGTCGAAACTGTCACGGCAACCAAATAGAATATGTAGCACCATAGGTCTTTTGTCTGGCGTCTATGGAAAACCGGTCGCCACATCCTACATACGACCCATGCATCTTTTCTTACTACATATTTCTGTAGCCTTGTGATCGTCTAGAATTTGTCTCTAGCTGTCTTTAATTCTGCTTCACGTTGTGTATTTACTTCTTCCAGTTTCTTAAGACGTTTGTCTTACCAGGAATAATAATGCATAGTTCGCTTCTACATTTTATATAGCATATAACTGAATACAGGTATACAAGCATAGCACAAATTACAATACTATATAGCTAAAACCACTTCTCTACCCTAGCCAGCCTCGCGGCTGTCTAGGAACTCAGATGGAAGCTCTCTGGAATCTAATGGAAGTCTAACGAATTCTCACAAGTATGATAGTTTTGTAGCTGTGGGTTTTGGACGTTCAATTATCTAATTGGTCAAATATCATGTAAATAAGTATAGAGATTGGTCAAACAAGCTAAATGATGCAATCGTAATTTTCCGTCACATGTTTCTCGACACAATCTATCCTTGAACTCAGACCCTCTTTCCTGTTATTCTCACGCTATTTCATAAACAGTTAATTTGCGTTTTAAATAAACTTATACCTTAATATACTGACAATAGAGAATAATTTGTAAAGATAAATAATGTTGTTTAACCCATCTTATTTCTCTATTCCTTGTCTATAAATTTAAAAACAATGTCGCAACGACGATAGTGCTACAATTCTTCCCCCTTTAAGAATATATATAAAATATAGATATTCTAACTAATTATTCACGCAACAGGCAAATATAAATGATTACTATACTTTAAATCAAAGCTGTGAAAGAAGAACACAAATAATCAAAAATCAAAAGTTGCATGCAAAAGCTATCCAAAAAGTTCATATGTACTTCAAAGTCCTACGAAAATTCATTAATCCCAAACACAGAGAACACAAATTGTCTTTTTTAAATCTTCAAGTGTCCTAATTTCAAAACACTATAACACATCACGTAATATTTATAAAGTTCAGGTTTCACTCTAAATCCTGTCTCAGGAAATCTCAATTTGGTAAACTGGTAAACCATTTCTTCTTCTTGGATTTGTATTGGTCTGTTTCAGCTACCATAGTATCAAGTTGAAACTTTCTTTTTTTCTTCTAAGTATGGGTTGTACAATTTTATCCGTCAATCAAACATGTCATTGCCATCAGACCAAGAACTAACTATTCCTAAATTATTAAAACTTTATTTTCATATTAATCTAACATTATTATTTCGAAAAATTATTTGTAAATCTTACTCTTAATTAAAATTAACTTTATTTAAGTATTAATAAACTTTGATGTGTCCCTTTAACTATAAAACTTCAAACTAAGTTTGACCTCTTGACCTGAACTGAGTAATGGACAATTTTAGAATTACGTTTATGTTTTATAATTTCCGTTTGTGTTTTAGAATTCCTACACTGTTATTTTATATTTCACCGTCAGTAATGTGACCTTTTTGACCTAATCATTTACAGTTTTGTATGTTAGTCAAAAACCAATACATGAAACAAGCCCATGGTTACTTATTCCACATTAGTATCACCTAACACGTTATTTAGAATAGGACTGTCAATCAAATATGGCCAGTATATGAATGACATTCCATTTCATCCTACAGTTCCTATTCCATTATTAGTATTACATGTATATAAACATTATTTAGAATCGTGTTCAAAGCAAGTGACGTGCACTTCACTCCCTCGGAACACCAGTCTATATTCTATAAACAAAACAATTAGAACATACCTAACTATATCCTATATATTATATTAATGCAATCCGTGACTTTTACACACGTCAAATTTAACACAGTGTTAGAACCTATTGTTTATAATAATTCGACCTCATGTCAAATTACACATTCTAATCCTTGCGCACATGTCGACAGCTTAAAGCAATTAGCAGTATATATTAAACGTTAATATTACGTTTCTAAGCAAAAATTTAATTACATAAAATTATATACGGACAAAATCTACCGTATACTTCACTTTTCTAAAAAGTGTTGTATTCTTAACTTTAACCTCCTATAAAACTCGTATTAATGACTTTGCGATAATCTCACAATTTAACGAGCCTTTAATTTTAGTTTTTTTCCCAGAAAAACTATAACCAACATCCCTAGATGAACCATATGGGATTTTTTACATAACCCAACTTTTTAATCAAAAGTTAAATTACAACAACTCTAAGGCCTGGACTAAGGACCTCAAAATTATATAGCTGAACACACATATACGAAACAACACAAAAACATAAATTAACGAAACACAGTAGAAACCACGGCCAACTAGGAAATTAGAGTTAATCACTCACAACTTCATCCTTAGCTCTGCCTTCTTTCTCAATGCGATCCGGAGACAACATTAGTTCCTTATTTTATTCCCTATTCCGTTTCCTTATTATTCCTTAGTTATATCAAAACATTTTTTTTTTAAAACCTACTCCCTAAACATTCTCTTTAACTTTAATTTTACTACAAATTTACGACAGGTCATGTTAACCTGGCAATATACATACCTAACTCATGAAATTATATTGTTTAATAAACCTATCAATCTAAACTTATGAATGACTCTAATTTATTCTCTATACAGTTAAATTTTAAATACTTAGTTTCTAATCAGATTTTAACTTTAAAGTAATATTATTTGGTCTTTAAACAAATTTAACACATTTAATTTTCCAAACAAAATGTATTTACCCAATTTTTCGAATATCTCCACCAGATTTTTTTTTCCACCAGACTTTTTCTGTTGCTGGATTGTACAGGTTTTCTTCTTAACGTCTTCAAATATGTATTCGTCTTCTAAAGTGACTTCTTACCCCAAAGGTCGAAACTTCGTTACGGTATCAAATCGAATATGTAAGACTATGCAGTGCTATGCAGTCACTGGTTAGATGTGGAAAATATGTGATGCTTACTCTCTTTTCTTCTAATCTTCTTCCAAATTTTCTGCTTACCCTAAAGGTCGAAACTGTCACGGCAACCAAATAGAATATGTAGCACCATAGGTCTTTTGTCTGACGTGGAGAGCGTCTATGGAAAACCGGTCGCCACATCCTACATACGACCCATGCATCTTTTCTTACTACATATTTCTGTAGCCTTGTGATCGTCTAGAATTTGTCTCTAGCTGTCTTTAATTCTGCTTCACGTTGTGTATTTACTTCTTCCAGTTTCTTAAGACGTTTGTCTTACCAGGAATAATAATGTATAGTTCGCTTCTACATTTTATATAGCATATAACTGAATACAGGTATACAAGCATAGCACAAATTACAATACTATATAGCTAAAACCACTTCTCTACCCTAGCCAGCCTCGCGGCTGTCTAGGAACTCAGATGGAAGCTCTCTGGAATCTAATGGAAGTCTAACGAATTCTCTCAAGTATGATAGTTTTGTAGCTGTGGGTTTTGGACGTTCAATTATCTAATTGGTCAAATATCATGTAAATAAGTATAGAGATTGGTCAAACAAGCTAAATGATGCAATCGTAATTTTCCTTCACATGTTTCTCGACATAATCTATCCTTGAACTCAGACCCTCTTTCCTGTTATTCTCACGCTATTTCATAAACAGTTAATTTGCGTTTTAAATAAACTCATACCTTAATATACTGACAATAGAGAATAATTTGTAAAGATAAATAATGTTGTTTAACCCATCTTATTTCTCTATTCCTTGTCTATAAATTTAAAAACAATGTCGCAACGACGATAGTGCTACAATTCTTCCCCCTTTAAGAATATATATAAAATATAGATATTCTAACTAATTATTCACGCAACAGGCAAATATAAATGATTACTATACTTTAAATCAAAGCTGTGAAAGAAGAACACAAATAATCAAAAATCAAAAGTTGCATGCAAAAGCTATCCAAAAAGTTCATATGTACTTCAAAGTCCTACGAAAATTCATTAATCCCAAACACAGAGAACACAAATTGTCTTTTTTAAATCTTCAAGTGTCCTAATTTCAAAACACTATAACACATCACGTAATATTTATAAAGTTCAGGTTTCACTCTAAATCCTGTCTCAGGAAATCTCAATTTGGTAAACTGGTAAACCATTTCTTCTTCTTGGATTTGTATTGGTCTGTTTCAGCTACCATAGTATCAAGTTGAAACTTTCTTTTTTTCTTCTAAGTATGGGTTGTACAATTTTATCCGTCAATCAAACATGTCATTGCCATCAGACCAAGAACTAACTATTCCTAAATTATTAAAACTTTATTTTCATATTAATCTAACATTATTATTTCGAAAAATTATTTGTAAATCTTACTCTTAATTAAAATTAACTTTATTTAAGTATTAATAAACTTTGATGTGTCCCTTTAACTATAAAACTTCAAACTAAGTTTGACCTCTTGACCTGAACTGAGTAATGGACAATTTTAGAATTACGTTTATGTTTTATAATTTCCGTTTGTGTTTTAGAATTCCTACACTGTTATTTTATATTTCACCGTCAGTAATGTGACCTTTTTGACCTAATCATTTACAGTTTTGTATGTTAGTCAAAAACCAATACATGAAACAAGCCCATGGTTACTTATTCCACATTAGTATCACCTAACACGTTATTTAGAATAGGACTGTCAATCAAATATGGCCAGTATATGAATGACATTCCATTTCATCCTACAGTTCCTATTCCATTATTAGTATTACATGTATATAAACATTATTTAGAATCATGTTCAAAGCAAGTGACGTGCACTTCACTCCCTCGGAACACCAGTCTATATTCTATAAACAAAACAATTAGAACATACCTAACTATATCCTATATATTATATTAATGCAATCCGTGACTTTTACACACGTCAAATTTAACACAGTGTTAGAACCTATTGTTTATAATAATTCGACCTCATGTCAAATTACACATTCTAATCCTTGCGCACATGTCGACAGCTTAAAGCAATTAGCAGTATATATTAAATGTTAATATTACGTTTCTAAGCAAAAATTTAATTACATAATATTATATACGGACAAAATCTACCGTATACTTCACTTTTCTAAAAAGTGTTGTATTCTTAACTTTAACCTCCTATAAAACTCGTATTAATGACTTTGCGATAATCTCACAATTTAACGAGCCTTTAATTTTAGTTTTTTTCCCAGAAAAACTATAACCAACATCCCTAGATGAACCATATGGGATTTTTTACATAACCCAACTTTTTAATCAAAAGTTAAATTACAACAACTCTAAGGCCTGGACTAAGGACCTCAAAATTATATAGCTGAACACACATATACGAAACAACACAAAAACACAAATTAACGAAACACAGTAGAAACCACGGCCAACTAGGAAATTAGAGTTAATCACTCACAACTTCATCCTCAGCTCTGCCTTCTTTCTCAATGCGATCCGGAGACAACATTAGTTCCTTATTTTATTCCCTATTCCGTTTCCTTATTATTCCTTAGTTATATCAAAACATTTTTTTTTTAAAACCTACTCCCTAAACATTCTCTTTAACTTTAATTTTACTACAAATTTACGACAGGTCATGTTAACCTGGCAATATACATACCTAACTCATGAAATTATATTGTTTAATAAACCTATCAATCTAAACTTATGAATGACTCTAATTTATTCTCTATACAGTTAAATTTTAAATACTTAGTTTCTAATCAGATTTTAACTTTAAAGTAATATTATTTGGTCTTTAAACAAATTTAACACATTTAATTTTCCAAACAAAATGTATTTACCCAATTTTTCGAATATCTCCACCAGATTTTTTTTTCCACCAGATTTTTTCTGTTGCTGGATTGTACAGGTTTTCTTCTTAACGTCTTCAAATATGTATTCGTCTTCTAAAGTGACTTCTTACCCCAAAGGTCGAAACTTCGTTACGGTATCAAATCGAATATGTAAGACTATGCAGTGCTATGCAGTCACTGGTTAGATGTGGAAAATATGTGATGCTTACTCTCTTTTCTTCTAATCTTCTTCCAAATTTTCTGCTTACCCTAAAGGTCGAAACTGTCACGGCAACCAAATAGAATATGTAGCACCATAGGTCTTTTGTCTGACGTGGAGAGCGTCTATGGAAAACCGGTCGCCACATCCTACATACGACCCATGCATCTTTTCTTACTACATATTTCTGTAGCCTTGTGATCGTCTAGAATTTGTCTCTAGCTGTCTTTAATTCTGCTTCACGTTGTGTATTTACTTCTTCCAGTTTCTTAAGACGTTTGTCTTACCAGGAATAATAATGCATAGTTCGCTTCTACATTTTATATAGCATATAACTGAATACAGGTATACAAGCATAGCACAAATTACAATACTATATAGCTAAAACCACTTCTCTACCCTAGCCAGCCTCGCGGCTGTCTAGGAACTCAGATGGAAGCTCTCTGGAATCTAATGGAAGTCTAACGAATTCTCACAAGTATGATAGTTTTGTAGCTGTGGGTTTTGGACATTCAATTATCTAATTGGTCAAATATCATGTAAATAAGTATAGAGATTGGTCAAACAAGCTAAATGATGCAATCGTAATTTTCCGTCCCATGTTTCTCGACACAATCTATCCTTGAACTCAGACCCTCTTTCCTGTTATTCTCACGCTATTTCATAAACTCATACCTTAATATACTGACAATAGAGAATAATTTGTAAAGATAAATAATGTTGTTTAACCCATCTTATTCTTCTATTCCTTGTCTATAAATTTAAAAACAATGTCGCAACGACGATAGTGCTACAATAGTCAAGCATATCGGGTAGTAACTTCCTGAATTATGGCCCCTAGTTGTATGAAAAATCATGTTTTTAGCTTGTTGTAGAGTTAACAATTTTTATCCGATTTAAAAAAAACATGTGAATATCACCATTACACACTAAGATCTTGTTTCCTTTTGATAATCGCGTATATCCGAAAGTAACTTCCTGGATTATGGCTCTTGGTTGTTAGAAAAATCGCATTTTAGCTTGCAGAGTCTCTAGAGG